AGTCTGGGCAACAGAATGAGACCCTGTCTCAAAAAAAAATAAAAGAAATTACATACGCAAAATATTGCGTATCTTTTAAGTCACTTTTTTTTTTTAAGGCAAGTTCTGCTGTCACCCAGGTTGGAGTGCAGTGGCATGATCATAGCTCATTGTAACCTGGAATTCCTGGCCTCAAATGATCCTCCCACTTCAGTCTGCCAGAGTGTTGGGATTACAGGCAGAAGCCACCTTGCCCGGCCCTTAAGTCGCCATGTTTTTAGTACTGTATATTCTACCTTGTTTCCACAGTTCTAAGGAAAGATCAGCCACAATGAGGAAAGATCAGTCACAAATACGTAATTTGTATTATATATCATTACAGAAAACATGAAAACCCCAGATGTATACTAGTTGGTATGGTTAAAAAAATTATTGTGCATGCATGCAGTGCGTAAAATGGTGCCATTTTACATTGAGTACATTGGATATCTGGAAAAAAGCATGTATAGGTGATTCACTTTATGTAATGTTATGCATATATCCAACAGAAAGGCAAGTCTTAAGTGGTTTTCACAAAAATGTGATCAGAGCTCCTCTCCACATGTTAGGATTTCAGGGGCCTTCTTTCTTCTACAAAACTTACTATTTAAGTTTTTCCACAATGAAACATTTTTCAAGTGCTTTTGTAAATAAATTAACGCTTTAAATTTTGGTATTTTCAGGCCTGAAAGAACACTGAAATACTTTTTTCCCTCTTACTACCCAAAAAAAACCTTCAGTTTTTTTTTTTCCAAGACAGGGTTTCAGTCTGCCGTGCAGGCTGAAGCGCAGTGGTGTGATCTCTGCTCACTGCAACTTCCACCTCCTGGATTCAAGCAATTCTCGTTCCTCAGTCTCCTAAGTAGCTGGGATCACAGCTGCCGCCCGCCACCACGCCCAGCCAATTTTTCTGTATTTCTTAGTAGAGATGGGGTTTTACCATGTTGGCCAGGCTGGTCTTAAACTACCGACCTCAGGTGATACACTCGCCTTGGCCTCCCGAGGTGTTGCGATTACAGGCATGAGCCACCACGCCCAGCCAACTTCACTTTCGTTTAATGAACTCTCTTTACCAAGAACTGTGCTAAGTGCCCTACTTTTCTTCTTTCGTTATCATAACAACCCTATGATGTGCTGAGAAAACTTCGGCTAGCGCGGGTGAACCTCCTAGCTGAAGGATACATAGCTCATAACCTGCTCTAAACCCCAGGGCCTCAGTACCGAAGCCTCTCTCTTTCAGTCCTTCACGTTTATAACCAAACTAATGATTGACTCGGTGGTAAAATGGGGAGAAAAACAAAAATCCAAGCAGTAACTTCAGATTTAACATTATGGTTGAAGACTTTGATTTGTTTCTTTTCCGTCTGTTTCCTACTTTTTTTGTTTTGAGACAGAGTCTCCCTCTGTCTCCCAGGCTGGAGTGCAGTGGCACGATCTCGGCTCACCGCAACCTCTGCCTCTTGGGTTCAAGCAATTCTCCTGCCTCGGCCTCCTGAGTAGCTGGGATTACAGGTGTGCGCCACCACGGCCAGCTAATTATTTTTATATTTTTTAGTAGAGACAGGGTTTCACCGTATTAGTCAGGCTGGTCTTGAACTCCTGACCTTGCGATCCGCCTGCCTCGGACTCCCAAAGTGCTGGGGTTACAGGCATGAGCCACCATGCCCAGCTGTTTTCCACTTACTATATACTTACATTTGCAAAAAGAGTAACCTGGGCAGACGTAGTCGCTCATGGCTGTAATCCCAGCACTTTGGGAGGCTGAAGCGAGAGGATATCTTGAGCCCCGGAGTTTGAGGCTGCAGTGAGCTGTGATTGCGCCACTGCACTCCAGCCGGGACAACAGAGTGAGACACTGTCTCAAGAAAAAAGAATAAATTTAGTTATTATACCTATGGCAAACAGAATTTGAGGTTTTTTTTTTTTGTTTGTTTGTTTTTTGAAATAGTTTTGCCCTTGTTGCCCAGGCTGGAGTGCAATGGCACAGTCTTAGCTCACTACAACCTCCGCCTCCTGGGTTCAAGTGATTATCCTGCCTCAGCCTCCCAAGTAGCTGGGACTACAGGCATGCACCACCACACCCAGCTAATTTTTTGTGTTAGTAGAGACGGGATTTCACATGTTGGTCAGGCTGGTCTCAAACTCCTGAGTGATCCACCTGCCTTGGCCTCCCAAAGTGCTGGGATTACAGCCGTGAGCCACTGTGCCCGGCCTTAGGTTGAGTTTTACAAACTTTGGTTATACCTAAAGATGAAAGTGAAATAAACAAGATGAGTCAGAAGGTGGACAAAGGGAGCTTCTATAGGGAGTGGTGTATGTACAATGAAACCATAGATGTTAACATTTTAGCATGTGTTCCAATAAATAAAAATAAGATACAGTCCCTTAAGTAATTCCCTTGTACACAATACATACCCATGTTCCTTGGTCTTTTTATGTTGTGTAATTGATGAATGTGGTTGTGATTGATCTTTGCTTACTGGTTTATGTGTCTCTCTAGAAGTGGAATTGTAGGAGCAAGATGAATATAGAGAGAGAGTGGTAGAGGGAGACTATAAATTTGTTTGTATCGATTAAGTTCCCTCTTAGAAATCTGTACTTCTCTCCCATACTGTGTAAGAGTTGTCTAGTGGCCCAAACTTACATGTGAAAAGTTTACAATTTGTTAAAATCTCTAACATATTTGAGAGTACAGAGATGTCAGAGTTTTCTCTCTTACTACTGATTACGGTTTCCCTTGGCTTCATATACTTTTGTCATTTCTGATGAATGACATATCATCTGCTTAGTTCATTTTTCCCTCTTAATTCTCTGTTTCTAAAGTTGGTTTGAAGGGGGGTGGTCTTGTGTTACTGGAGGGGTTTGCTTATTTCTTTGTTGGCCTCTGCTTAGGTGTACCTCTTGTCTGGTTCTGTTACTGTTCTTTGTTTGTGGCCCTGCCATAGCTTCCAGCGGATGAATGGTCCATAAAATGCATCATTTTCATTTTGGCCCTGGGCCTTTTTGGGTACTTTTAGAAGTACCATGTCTTAAGTCTCTTTACCTTTGGGTTCCTATTCAGTTTATGTGAGGTTTCTATAATCTCATTTCACCACTTCATGATGTTCCATACCTGCTTTAACTGTTTCCTTAAAATGTCTTCACTAACTCAGTAATAATTTTGAAAAGTTATTTTGTGTCTTTTCTTAACATTTAGGATCTAAAGTCTGTGTTAATCTCTGGTATTATGTGTAAGAGAAACTTTTGGAGTCCAAAAACCCCCTTCATCTTTCTAGCTTAGGTTTTTCTCTCTGAAGCATCACTATTTTGAAGGTAGTATAAATAGATTTTAATTGCATGGTGAAGAGCCAATCTCAAAGGAAATTTTAATATCAGTGTGCCATCCATTCTACTTATTCCTCCTCCCCTCCATGAACTCTCCTTTTCTCCTGTTTTACTCAAGAAAACAGTAAAGAAGGAGGGCCTCTAGTCATATCTTTCACCACCCACTCCTCTTGTCACTTCCTTCTCCCAACTTTTCTCCTTGAATGTCTGGTGTCTTCTGCCTTCCTTCTTTCCCTTTTGTCTGGCTAACATCTTTTATTTTTATTTTAATTTAGAGAGGCAAGAGTTCAGTGGCTTTATCATAGCTCACTGCAGCCTCAAATTCCTGGGCTCAAGTGATCCTCCCACCTCAGCCTCCTGAGTAGTGTATGCCACCTGGCTAATTTTAAAATATATTATAGAGACAGGGTCTCGTCATCTTTCCCAGGCTGGTCTCAAACTTCTGGGCTCCAGCCATCTTCCCCGCCTCTGCTTCCCAAAGCACTGGAATTACAGATGTGAGCCACTTCGCTGACATGTTTTAGATCTGATTCTCAGCTTTAACATTATTTTTTTTTGAGACAAGAGTCTCGCTCTGCCGCCCAGGCTGGAGTACAGTGGTGCGATCGCCACTCACTGCAACCTCTGCCTCCTGAGTTCAAGTGATTCTCATACCTCAGCATCCTGAGTAACTGGGACTACAGGCATGTGCCACCACGCCTGGCTAAATTTTGTAGTTTTAGTAGAGATGGGATTTCACCATGTTGGCCCCACTGGTCTCAAACTCTTAACCTCAGGTGATCCACCTGCCTTGGCCTTCCAAAGTGCTGGGATTACAGGTGTGAGCCACTGTGCCTCCTGGCCAACATTTTTAAGAACTTCCTGAACAATACTGATCGGTACAGGGAAACCGGGTGGTGGGCACAGGTGGGTGGGTTGAGGTGGTGGGACATGTTGATGATAAAGATACATACTTAGAAAATGTCTCACTTGAGAAAAATGTCTCAGAAGTATCATTTGTACTCATAAAAATCAGTCAATAGCTGAAGCAGTGGCTGTGATGATGACCACACATAAAACATGAGTTAGGTACAAACTCGTTTTCATCATACTTTCTAAATGTTAACTATAGCTGTTATGCTGGTTCATGATTGTTGCTTTATTTACTCATCTTTTTGTGGCTTTTGACATTCATCTCTCTCTGGCTCAGTAAATGTTTATTGACTGAATTTTTTTTTTTTTCTCGAAATGGAGTCTTGCTCTGTTGCCTAGGCTGGAGTGCAGTGATGCAATCTCCACTCACTTCAACCTCTCCCTCCCGGGTTCAAGCAATTCTCCTGCCTCAGCCTCTTGAGTAGCTGGCACACACCACAATGCCCGGCTAATTTTTTGTATTTTCAGTAGAGACGGAGTTTCACCGTGTTGGCCTGGATGGTCTTGAACTCCTGACCTCAAGTGATCTGCCTGCCTTGGCCTCCCAAAGTACTGGGATTACAGGCGTGAGCCACTACTTCGGCTATTGACTGATTTTTATGAGTACAAATGATACTTCTGAGACATTTTTCTCAAGTGAGACATTTTCTAAGTATATATCTTTATTATTATAAAACATTTCTTTTAAGAAGGTATTAATTCTTGGCACCGTGTTAATTTTTATGAATGCTTTTATACCTATCCAGGACCCCTCGTCCAGTCATTGTGGAACCCATGGAGCAGTTTGATGATGAAGATGGCTTGCCAGAGAAGCTGATGCAGAAAACTCAACAATATCATAAGTAAGATTTTATTAATAGTTAATTTGTGTATGTACTATTAAGGGTGTTCATTACATTTGTTTTCAAATATTGTTGGATTATGAGGTGTCTGTTTATTTATATAATCTGGGTAATAGAGTGGTCTAGTCTACATGGAATGCTAGTTTTCTGTTTTTTTTTTTGAGATACTGTCTTGCTCTGTTGCCCAGGCTGGAGTGCAGTGGTGTGATCTTGGCTCCCTGTAATCTCTACGACCCACATTCAAGTGATTCTTGTGCCTCAGACTCCCGAGTAGCTGGGATTACAGGCATGCACTACCATACCTAGCTAATAGTTTTCTTTTTTCATATGGGTAAAACATACTAATTTTTAAAGAAATGTCTACTTTTATAACTGGGGCAGGGTGGGTACTAGGACACTGTCAATAATATTTATGCCAGAAAAACAACGAAATCTAGATAACGTGAAAATACTTTTTTTTTGTTTTTTTGAGATGGAGTCTTACTCTTGTCACACAGGCTGGAGTGCAGTGGCGTGAACTCGGCTCACTGCAACCTCCACCTCCCGGGTTCAAGTGATTCTCCTTCCTCAGCCTTCCAAGTAGCTGGGATTACAGGCGTGTGCCACCACGCCCGACTAATTTTTTCGTGTTTTCAGTAGAGATGGGGTTTCACCATGTTGGTCAGGCTGGTCTTGAACTCCTAATCTTAGGTGATCTACCCGCTTTGGCCTCCCAAAGTGCTAGGATTACAGGCGTGAGCCACCACGCCCAGCTGAAAATACTTCTTTTTTTTTTTTTTTTTTTTTTGAGACGGAGTCCCGCTCTGTTGCCCAGGCTGGAGTGCAGTGGCCGGATCTCAGCTCACTGCAAGCTCCGCCTCCCGGGTTCGCGCCATTCTCCTGCCTCAGCCTCCCGAGTAGCTGGGACTACAGGCGCCCGCCACCTCGCCCAGCTAGTTTTTTTTGTATTTTTTAGTAGAGACGGGGTTTCACTGTGTTAGCCAGGATGGTCTCGATCTCCTGACCTCGTGATCCGCCCGTCTCGGCCTCCCAAAGTGCTGGGATTACAGGCTTGAGCCACCGCGCCCGGCCTGAAAATACTTCTTAAGTTTTATTTTATGCTTCACGTCTACTGTAGGTTAAAAGGAGACTTTTGGTGTGCCAGGATGGAGCAGGATATTCCTAGTTTAATAACCTGGCACAGTGGAAAAACTTTTAGAGGTTGCAAAAAATAGCTCATTTTCAAAATGTTGTATGTTTATTCTTTTGCCCTTTCATTTAGAATAATACAAGTATATTTACATTAACTGTTTATATGAGTGCATTCTTTTTAAGTTTATAAAGCTTTATTAAACATTTCAAATAGCTGTGCAACGAACACACCAAATAAAAGTTGTAGAATGGCAGTCCAAATGTTTCACAAGTATGGCCTCACAGTCCCATTCCCTAGATGGACTGCCTCCAGTTCTGTTCTCTGCCTGTCCCACCTCCCTTTCCCCTCCAATTACTTTACTTTTGTAGAGCGCATTATATTTTTAAAAATCAGTCACTTATTTATTTTTTTTTTGCAGGGGAGGAATGAAGGGTTTTGTTGAAAATGAAAGTACACTCTGCAGTGTGGGCCTGAGCATAGGGGCTCGAAGGCCCTGTTACAGAGTTTTTGTGAGTTTAAATACCCTCTACTTGGGGTATGCCCTGTGTAAATGAAGAGGATGAAGTAAAGTTACAAAGTCATTTACTTGGTGTATGCCCTATGGAGAGGATATTTCCTGTTGTAGCTGAATTGTGAATTGGCCTTCTGTTCCCTGCTTCTAGACTCTTATTTTCTTGCCTCATCTCCCCACTTAGAGATGTGATCCTCATAAATCTTTATGGGAGGCAGAGGAACCAATGGTCTTTTTTTCTGTAACTGCTTCATGCTGACTTGGGTTGTAGTCTCTACCTATTGGGGATCACAGAACTCTCGCCCTGCTCCATCTAGTGGAGGCAGGGTAGCTTCTCGATGACTAGGGGTGGTGTCTTCGCCTGGAACTGGCTGGAACCTTTGTTGCATGATCATCTGAAGCTTGATGGTCTCTTAAGGGTTCCAGTGGGTGCACAGTTCCAAAAGTGTGGAGGGACCCTTTTCATTTGTGAGACCATGAACCCAAAGTTCAGGGTCCCAAAGTTTTGTTGTAGTGTGGATGGCAAGGACAGTCTTTCTTTCTTTGTTTTGAGATGGAGTCTCACTCTGTTGTCCAGGCTGGAGTGCAGTGGCGTGATCTCAGCTCACTGCAGCCTCTGCCTCCCAGGTTCAAGCGATTCTCCTGCCTCAGCATCCCAAGTAGCTGGGAGTATAGGCGTGTGCCACCATGCCCAGCTAGTTTTTTTGTAGTTTTAGTAGAGATGGAGTTTCACCATGTTAGCCAGGATGGGCTCAATCTCCTGACCTTGTGATCCGCCTTCCTTGGCCTCCCAGAGTGCTGGGATTACAGGCGTGAGCCACCATGCCCGGTGACTGTCTTTCTTTGATGTTTCCAGAAGATTCAAACCATAAAACACTTTCTTAGGGCAGGGCGTGGTGGCTCATACGTGTAATCCTAGCACTTTGGGAGGCCAAGGCGGGTGGATCACAAGGTCAGGCGTTTGAGACCAGCCTGACCAACGTTGTGAAACACTGTCTCTACTAAAATTACAAAAATTAGTCGGGCATGGTGACATGCACCTGTAATCCCAGCTACTCAGGAGGCTGAGGCAGGAGAATTACTTGAACCAGGAGGCAGAGGTTGTGGTGAGCCGAGATTGCGCCACCACACTCCAGCCTGGATGACAGCGAGACTCCGTCTCAAAAAAATAAAAGCGTTCTTTACCCTTTTGCCAACATGCCAGACTTCTGGGTTCTGTCTCCCTGAGCGGTCGTAGTGAAGCTGCTTGACTTCCTCCTGGCCGGCTCACCAAAATATGGTACCAGTGGAGAGTGTCCAAGTTCTTGGCGTCTTGAACGAAGAATTGGACAAAATGCCCAAACAAAGCAAGGAAGGAATGAAGGGTTTTATTGAAAATGAAAGTAGCACTCCACAGTCTGGAAACGGGCCTAAGCATAGGGACTCAAAGGCCTGCTTATTTGTTTTTTGAGAGTGTCACTTTGTTACCCAGGCTGGAGTGCAGTGGTGCAGTCTCAGCTCACTTCAACCTCCACCTCCCAAGTTCAAGTGATTCTTGTCCCTCACCCTCCTGAGTAGCTGGGATTACAGGCCTGCGCCACCACACCCAGCTAATTTTTGTATTTTTAGTAGAGATGGGGTTTCACTATGTTGGCCAGGCTGGAGTCAGAACTGCTGACCTCAGGTGATCACCTGTCTTGGCCTCCCAAGGTGCTGGGATTACAGGTGTAAGCCACTGCGCCCGGCCCACTTATTTATTCCATAAATAAAACTTGGAGTGCCTTTGTGTTAGCCACTGTTCTAGGTGTTGGCAGTGTAAGTCAAGCAGGTAGTTGGATTTATACCTAGGATTTAGAGCAACCGTCCTGCCTGGATTTATGAACATGATATTTTTAAAGTCAAAACACCAAACCTTGAACCTTGGAGTTCTCTAGTGTGTAGAGATTTGGAAGATCAGAACAAATCAATAACGACTGAGAAGGGAGCATTCATTCATTGGAATGGCGGGAAGAGCCATCAGACTCTGTCCTGGAAGCAAGGGAGGAGAGTATTTCAGGGAGGAAGCATTAGCATTAGCATTGATTATAATTCATATCTATTCTTTTTTTTCTGGAGACGGAGTTTCACTCTTGTTGCCCAGGCTGGAGTGCAATGGCACGATCTCGGCTCACCGCAACCTCCGCCTCCCAGGTTCAAGCAATTCTCCTGCCTCAGCCTCCCTAGTAGCTGAGACTACAGGCACACGCCATCATGCTCAACTAATTTTTGTGTTTTTAGTAGAGACAGAGTTTCACTGTGTTGGCCAGGTTGGTCTTGAACTCCTGACCTTGTGGTCTGCCCGTGTCGGCCTCCCAAAGTGCTGGGATTACAGGTGAGAGCCACCACACCCAGCCTAATTAATATCTATTCTTACATCCTTTACAATGCGATTTCTCTTTTTTTTTTTTTGAGACAGGGTCTGGCCCTGTTGCCCAGACTGCAGTGTAGTGGTGTGATCATGGCTCAGTGCAGCCTCTACCTCCTGGTCTCAAGTGATCCTTCCCCCTCAGTATCCCCTAAGTAGCTGGGACTACAGATGTGGGCCACCATGCCCATCTAATTTTAAAATTTTTTTGTAAAGACAGAGTTTCGTCATGTTGCTCAGGGTGGTCTAGAACTCCCGGGCTCAAGTGATCTGCCCGCATTGGCCTCTCAAACTGTTGGATTTACAGGTGTGAGGCACTGCACCTGGCCACAATGCCATTTTTTAAAGGGTTCCTGTGATTTCCTCTTCACTTAACTTTTTCCTTGGTATAGGTCACCATTGCAAATTTGAAATAAAGCATACGTTTGGATTTGGGAGTTGGAGAACTAGAAGTACAAGGTTGTTACAAGAATAGACTTTATAGACAATATTTGTTTATATAGTTAATGATCTCAGCAAACCTTAATAAGAGCTAGTTATGGCTGGCCATAGTGGCTCACGCCTGTAATCCCAGCACTTTGGGAGGCCGAGGTGGGTGAATCACCTGAGGTCAGGAGTTCGAGACTAACCTGGTCAACATGGTAAAACCCTGTCTCTACTGAAAATACAAAAATTAGTCCGACGCGGTGGCACGCATCTGTAATCCCAGCTATTTGGGAGGCTGAGGCAGGAGAATCGCTTGAATCCGGGAGGTGGAGCTGAGATTGCGCCACTGCACTCCAGCCTGGGCGACTGGAGTGAGACTTTCTCAAAAAAAAAAAAAAAAAGAGCTAGTTCTGTTCCCACTTTTTTTACTAAAGATTTATTCACAGAAGAAAATGCTCACAGGGTCTGGCGCAGTGCCACATGCCTGTAATCCCTGCACTTTGGGAGGCCAAAGCGGGTGGATCACCTGAGATCAGGAGTTGGAGTCCAGCCTGGCCAATATGGTGAAACCCCGTCTTTACTAAAAATACAAAAAATTAGCTGGGTATGGTGTCAGGAGCCTGTAATCCCAGCTATTTGGGAAGCTGAGGCAGGAGAATCGCTTGAACCCGGGAGGCGGAGGTTGCAGTGAGCTGAGATCGTGCCATTGCATTCCAGCCTGGGCGACATGTTTCAAAAAAAAAAAAGAGAAAAAGAAAATGCTCACAAAGCATAAGAGCCAAGATTCAAATTCACTTGTAACTTCAAAAAAGCATGTTATTTCAGTGTTTTTTTCCTGTGGGAGAAAAATAAATAATTTAAAAATATAGTCAATCTTTGACTTAGGAACTGCTGACCAATAAACAATTCTTTTAGAAAAATTTGTGGTTGGTAGATCCTCCCACTCTTTCGCACTTTCTAGTCGGTGCTTTAAAAAGAAAAAAATCCAAGTAGGTTTTTCAGATACGGAGTCCCTAGGATCATGGCTGTCTTTGATTTTTCTTCATATGCTTCTGAATATCTTTCTCTCTCTTGTTATTACATCTTTTCCTCTGTGACAGCTTTCTCCTTTCTCTCTCCCAGATTTGTCATACCCACCCCTCCTCACCTCCCTACCCCAAAATAAAAGTTAAAATTTACGGCCGTGCGCGGGTGGCTCAAGCCGTGTTAATCCCGAGCACTTTGGGAAGGCCGAGAAGGTTGGATCCACGCAGGTAGTGAGATCAAGACCATCCTGGAGCTAACACAGGAAACCCGTGTCTCTTCCTACTTAAAAATACAGAAGAACTATGCCGGGGCTAAGTTGGTGGGTGCCTGTAGTCCCAGGTACTCGGTAGGCTGAGGCAGGAGAATGGCGTGAACCCGAGAGGAGGAGCTTACAGTGAGCTGAGAATCCGGCCACTGCACTCCAGCCTGGGCGACAGAGCAAGACTCTGTCTCAAATAAAATAAATAAAATAAAATAAAAAAAGATTTGATCAGTTTATCTATTTATTAATTGGCTAATGGGAGTGGGATGTTTTCCCATCAGTACTTTTTAATAGGGGCTGTTATAGGCGAGACTAGTTGAAGACTTTTCTGCGAAAATTTCTTGAAAGTTGACTGGGTGTGTGTGGCTCCCACCTGTAGTCCTAGCACTTTGGGAGGCAGAAGCATTGCTTCCAGGAGTTTGAGACCAGCCTGGGCAACATAGTGGTACTCATCTCTACTAAAAAATGAAAAAATTAGCTAGTCATGTTGGCACACCCCTGTAGTCCGAGGTACTCTGCAGCCTCAGGTGGGAGGATTGGTTGAGCCTGGGAGGTTGATCCCGGCAGTGAGCCTTTTTTTTTTTTTTTTTTTAAAGATGGAGTCTTGCTCTTGTTGCCCAGGTTGGAGTGCAGTGGCGCAATTTCGGCTTACTGCAACCTCTGCCTCCTGGGTTTCAAGCGATTCTCCTGCCTTAGCCCTGTAATCACGGATTTTGGTACAGTGCCCGCCACCATGCCCAGCTAATTTTTGTAATTTTAGTAGAGATGGGATTTCGCCATGTTGGCCAGGCTGGTCTTGAACTCCTGGCGTTGTGATCCGCCTACCTCAGCCTCCGAAAGTGCTGGGATTACAAGCGTGAGCTACCGTTCCCGGTCTCGGCAGTGAGTCTTAATTGTGCCACTACACTCCAGCCTGTGAAGCTGAGCAAGACCCTGTCTCACAAAAACCCAAAGCAACACCACCACCAACAACAATTCTTAAAAGTGAAAAGAAAGTCTGGGCATGGTGGCTCATACCTATAATCCCAGCACTTTGGGAGGCCGATATGGGTAGATCACAGGGTCAGGAGTTCAAGACCAGCCTGGCCAACATAACGTGAAACCCTGTCTCACTAAAAAAAATTCAAAAACTAAGCCAAGCATGGTGGCAGGTGCCTGTAATCCCTGCTACTTGGGAGACTGAAGCAGGAGAATCACCTGAACCTGGGAGGCGGAGTTTCAGTGAGCCGAGATTATACCATTGCACTCCAGCCCAGGCAATACTATGAGACTCTGTCTCAAAAAAAAAAAAGTGAAAAAAAAATTGGGGACCAGGTGTGGTGTCTTGCACCTGTAATTTTGGCACTTTTGGAGGCTGAGGAATGAGGATTACTTGAGGCCAGAAGTTTGAGATCAGTCATATTTTTTATATGTCTCTAAAATAAATATTTACATATACATATATGTATATATGAAAAAATAAAGACTTTCAAATACATTCATAGCCCTTTATTTGGTAATTTGTTAATTTATTCAAGAAATGTATATTAAATGTATGTACTGTACTCTAGGTACTTGAGGCATAGCATTTATTTATTTATTTATTTATTTATTTATTTATTTTGAAACGGAGTCTTGCTCAGTCACCCAGGCTGGAGTACAGTGGTACGATCTCGGCTCACTGCAAGCTCCGCCTCCCGGGTTCACGCCATTCTCCTGCCTCAGCCTCCTGAGTAGCTGGGACTACAGGCGCCGGCTAATTTTTTTTGTATGTTTAGTAGAGACGGGGTTTTACTATGTTAGCCAGGATGGTCTCAATCTCCTGACCTTGTGGTCTCTCTGCCTCGGCCTCCGAAAGTGCTGGGATTACAGGCGTGAGCCACCGCGCCCGGCCGAAGTGGCATTTAACAGCCACATTTGGTGTCGTCAATTGAGTTTATAGTCTATAAAGGGAAAGAAGTATTAAATAATTAACTACAATTGTAGTAAGTTAGGCCTTAATTTTTGGGGCCTACCCAATTAATTGGCATGTAACACTCAATAAAATCTAGCTGGTTTTACTAGTAAAAACATCTGATCCAGACAGTTAATTCATATGTTCCAGACTTTCCTTTGTAAAATATTTCTTTTTTTTTTTTTTTTTGAGATGGAGTCTCACTGTCTCCCAGGCTGGAGCGCAATGGCGCGATCTCTGCTCACTGCAAACTCCGCCTCCCGGGTTCACACCATTCTCCTGCCTCAGCCTTCCAAGTAGCTGGGACTACAGGCGCCCGCCACCGCGCCTGGCTAATTTTTTTGTATTTTTAGTAGAGACAGGGTTTCACCGTGTTAGCCAGGATGGTCTCGATCACGTGACTTCGTGATCTGTCAGCCTTGGCCTCCCAAAGTGCTGGGATTACAGGCGTGAGCCACTGCGCCCGGCCTGTAAAATATTTCATTGACTGAAGACCAGAAAATGAAACCTCCAAAAGCAGAAATTTTGCAGGTAATAGTTAGGATAATGCAGGTTGTAGCATCAGATTATGCAAGTTTGAATCATTGTTCCATTATTAGTTGAACATTCTTGGGCAGTTTCTTAAACTCAGGCCTGTAATCACAATATTGTCACGAGGTAATTCTTGTAGACACGGTGTCTCACATGGTGTCTTGGACATTGTAAGTGCTTGTTGTTCTCGTTTGTTGTTGTTTTACCTTTTAAGCGTACATTTCTGTATGTTTTAATGTTAATTTAGGGAAAGAGAACAACCGCCACGTTTTGCTCAGCCTGGGACATTTGAATTTGAGTATGCATCTCGATGGAAGGCTCTTGATGAAATGGAAAAGCAGCAGCGTGAGCAGGTTGATAGAAACATCAGAGAAGCCAAAGAGAAACTGGAGGCAGAAATGGAAGCAGCTAGGCATGAACACCAATTAATGCTAATGCGGCAAGGTAAACATGGATTTTCATGTAGATGTGGTATGATTTTTTTTTTCCCCTTAAGTGTGTGTACTGTTCATGTACTACTGTGTAAAGTGCCATTTAGGAGTTTATAGATAAAGTTGGAACTTAACATATTAGGTGTGAAAGTCTCCCTTTTCCCAGATAACTTCCCTTAAAAAAAAACACAACTTATTAAAAGTTAGTTTTACTTGCTGGGCGCGGTGGCTCACGCCTGTAATCCCAGCACTTTGGAGGCTGAGGCGGGCGGATCACCTGAGGTCGGGAGTTTGAGGCCAGCCTGACCAACGTAGAGAAACCCTATCTCTACTCAAAATACAAAATTAGCCAGTTGTGGTTGTGCGCACCTGTAATCCCAGCTAGTTGGGAGGCTGAGGCAGGAGAATTGCTTGAACCTGGGAGGCGGAGGTTTCAGTGAGCTGAGATCACATCATTGTACTCCAGCCTGGGCCACAAGAGCAAAACTCTGTCTCAAAAAGAAAAAAAATTAAAAAGTTAGTTTTACTTATGCAAGTAGTATTGTTGGAGGTAATTTGAGGATATTAAATTGTGCCAGTACCAAATACATGATTCTCTTGGCAAACAGAAACATAGCAGGCAAATTTTGGTAGGTAGACATGGCACATACAGGATTTTTTGTTTGATAAGAAGAAGAATTCGGACAAATGCTGGCTATTTAAGATTATTATTACATGTTTGAAAGAGTACATATGGATAATCTGGTAGAGATGAAAAGGATTTGTGTGTACAGATGGATATGGGGATTTAGGAAAAGTTAGTAGTTGGCAAGAATATATATATTGGAGATGGAGTCTTGCTCTGTTGCCCAGACTGGAGTGCAATGGCACGATAACGTCTCACTGCAACCTCCGCCTCCTGGGTTCAAGCAATTCTCCTGCCTCAGTCTTCTGAGTAGCTGGGATTACAGGCACACACCACAATGCCCATCTAATTTTTTTGTATTTACTTCTCTTGACTGTCCCCAGAGATCAAGGTACCACAGCTGCCTGCCTGAATTTCTGCAGCTGCATTCCTGCTGAACGTTTCTGCCATTTAATCTTGGCTTGCTTTAAACCATTCTGTATACTAGATTCATTATTTTTTTTAGCAGGTGAAAATTTGATGATTTTTCTCTAAATCCTTTTGGGTAAATTCTCATTTACTTTAGAATGAAGTGTAGGTTTTTTTTTTTCCTGGCACGTGTGTTCTAGTATTTCATACATCACAATTCAGTAAGTGTTTATTGAGCAGTTATGATCAAGTCATTGAGTAACTGTGCTGATGCCACATATGTTAAAACAAAATCGAGCCCAGCAAACAATAGAAACTAGTCAGGTGGTTTGATTTAATTTGGACCCTAAGCTTGGTAGTTCTGTATGTTCACTCTTCTAACAAAATTGAGTTCATTTATATCTTATAGTAGATTTAAAGGTAAACTGTCATTAGCCGGATGTGGTGATGGGTGCCTGTGATCTAAGCTACATGGGAGGCAGAGAATTACTTGAACCCAGGAGGTGGAGGTTGCAGTGAGCCGAGATCACGCCACTACTCCGGCCTGGGCGACAGAGCGAGACTCCAGGATAACTAACTCCAAGATAAACTGTCTTTTATTTTGTGGAACATTTGCAAGTTGTTATTTGCGATAAAGGTACTGAATCGTTCATTAGCTGTTAGAGCTGGTAGAGAGATTTTTTTTTTTTTTGGATACAGAATCTCACTCTGTTGCCCAGCCTGGAGTGCAGTGGCATGATCTTGGCACGCTGCAACCTCCGCCTCCCGTGTTGAAGCAATTCTTGTGCCTCACCCTCCCTAGTATCTGGGACTACAGGCACGTGCCACCATGCCTGGCTAATTTTTTTTGCTTTTTTTGAATTTGAGATGGAGTCTCACTTTTGTCGCCCAGGCTGGAATGCATTGGTGTGATCTTAGCTCACTACAACCTCCACTTCCTGGGTTCAAGCGATCTTCCTGCCTCAGCCTCCTAAGTGGCTGGGATTACAAGTGTGTGCTTCCACACTCAGCTAATTTTTTGTATTTTTAGTAGAGATGGGGTTTTACCATGTTGTCCACGAGTTCAAGGCTGCTCTTGAACTCGTGACCTCAGGTGATCTGCCCGCCTCAGCCTCCCAAAGTGCTGAGATTGCAGGCATGAGCCACCGTGCCTGGTCCAGTTTTTTTTTGTATTTTTGGTAGAGATGGGATTTCTCCATGTTGACCAAGCCGATCTTGAAATCCTAGCCTCAAGTGATCTACCCACCTTGGCCTCCCATAGTGCTGGGATTACAGATATGAGCCACCATGCCTGGCCAAGAGATCTTAAAGTTTGTCCAGTCCAGTGGTTTTGAAATTTTATTACACATTAGAATCATATGGAAATTTCCTGGGCTCTGTGGTTGCCCTAGCCCTTCTGTTCAATGTGAATTGTTTTCTCTTAGCCTGCTAGGCACTTCTCTCCCATTCTGTTTCCCACCTGTCTACAGTCGTGCCCTAGTTGGGAAATAATGTTGATTAGATATGGAAGCATCTGTACTAAAGATTTGTGTTGATGCTGCAGACAAACAGTGGTATAACATTCACTAATTTAGCACATCTTTAATGTCAGTTACGGGAGACACGTCTGAGGTACGGAGGATATATTGATGGCAAAGAACATTTCCTTAGACTTCAGTTTTTTCTTGAGCTCTTAGAAAACTTTGCCTGAAGGTATTTTGATGTTTGAAGTAGAGTAATTTTGCAGTTATTTCCCATGAGTTTCAGTTTTGTTGTTTATTGTGTGTTCATTTAAAGCCCCTGTTAACAATATCTTAGTTTATAATATTAGAAAATCACATTGCCTGTTGCGTCCTACTCCCTGCGTCTGGGTTCACTTGTGCCGAAGTACTTGTACTTATTTCATCAAAAGTCTGCAGTTGGTAAATTTCAGTTTTAGTTTGTTTAAAATTTAAAAAGTTACAACTTCCTCCCATTTGTTCTACAATTTTGTATTTCTTTTTTTTTTTTTTTTCCTTTTTTTGAGACAGATTCTTGCTCTGTTGCCCAAGCTGGAGTGCAGTGGTGCAACCTCAGCTCACTGTAACCTACCTTTTGCCTTCTGGGTTTAAGCGATTCTCCTTCCTCAGCCTCTCAAGTAGCTAGGATTACAGGTGCATGCCACCACGCCCGGCTAATTTTGTATTTTTAGTAGAGATGGGGTTTCACCATGTTGGTCAAGCTGGTTTCGAACTCCCGACCTCAAGTGATCTACCCACCTCAGCCCCCTACAGTGCTGGGATTACAGGTGTGAGGCACAGTACCCGGCCTACAATTTTATATTTCATCCAGCATTTCTAAGGATGCATTCAGGTTGAGGAGAGACTGTAATTAATCTAAGTTGTGTGGTTCTGCAGAAACATGTATCATGACATATCATGGAAGGAGAAATCTCACACAATACGAAAAACTGTCCCCTTGTTCACTACCTTCTGCTTTTTTTGTAGAAATCACTCTTCTGTATTTAAGTCTCTTTTGTGTCCTTTAATGAAAAAATTCTGCGTATGTCATTAGATGTTTCTGTGTATTTGTAAGCAAAAAACCCAAAAATCATAACAACAAAACAAACTGGCTGGGCGCAGTGTCTCATGCCTGTAATTCTAGCACTTTGGGAAGCAGAGGTGGGAGGATTGCTTGAGTCCAGCAGTTCAAGACTAACCTCAGCAACATAGTGAGACCCCATCTCTACCAAAAGTACAAAAATTAGCCGGGCCTGGTTGGCATGTGTCGTAGTTACAGCTACCTGGGAAGGCTAGGTGGGAGGATTCACTTGACCTGGAGCCTTGAGGCTGTTAGTGACTATAATTATGTCCACCGTACTCCAGCCTGGGTGAGTAGAACGAGACCTTGTTCAAAAAAAAGAAAAAACTGTGTTACCTTTCTTACCTTTTTTACTTCCTATCCATGAATATATATGTAAATACCCTGCCTTATGGTTTTACAATGGCCGTATGATATTTTTTATATGGGTATAGTTTGGGTCTACTCTTTGGTAACAAGTTCTCTTTTCAGTTTGTTTTAAAAGCGTGCTGCAAAGAATATATACTATACCATGTATCAGAAAATTTTGCAAATGTTTGGGTTTTTTTGTTTTTTTTTTTTTGAGATGGTGTTCACTCTTGTTCCACAGGCTGAGTGGCAGTGGCGTGATCTCAGCTCACTGCATCCTCCACCTCCCAAGTTCAAGTGATTCTCCTGCCTTAGCCTCCTGAGAGCTGGGATTATAGGCATGTTGGCACATGCGTGGCTAATTTTGTATTTTTAGTAGAGACAGGGTTTCTCCATGTTGATCAGGCTGGTCTCGAACTCCCGACCTCAAGTGATCCGCCCTCCTCAGCCTCCCAAAGTGTTGGGATTACAGGCATGAGCCACCACACCCAGCTGTAAATGTTGATTCTTATTGAACACATCGGTACCTTATAATAATAGTTGTACCATTTATACTTTACTGATAATTATTTAGTCCTTTCTAGATTCAACTCCCATTACATTAAAAAATTTTTTTCTTTGAGATGGAGTCTCACTCTGTTTCCCAGGCTGGTGTTCAGTGGCACAATCTCAGCTCAGTGGTACAACCTCCGCCTCCCGGCTTAAAGTGATTCTTCTCCCTCAGGCATGAGCCACCATACCCGGCTAATTTTTGTATTTTTAGTAGAGGCGGGGTTCACCATGTTGGCCAGGCTGGTCTCAAACTCTTGGCCTCAAGTGATCCGCCTGTCTCAGCCTCCCAAAGTGTCAAAGAGTATAAGGCGTGAGCCCACTGCGACCTGGCCCATTACAGTTTTTTTTTTAACTTTATTTATATTTGTTTGTTTTTATTTATTTAGAGACGGAGTCTCCGCCTGTTCCAGGCTTAGAGACATGAGTCTCACTCTTTGCCCAGCGGGAGTGCAGGCGCAATTCTCGCTTATCAACCCTCGCCTCCGTGTTCAAGCTGACTTCTCCTGCCTCATCCTCTTCGA